CCAAATGGCCGCACATATAACTACGTGTACTATCTTGCGGATGGGATCTACCTGAGGTGGGGTATTTTTGTCAAGCCAATTGCAAAACCCCAAGATAAGAAAGAACTCATCTTTCACAATGCACACACGGTGGCTAGGAAAGATGTTGAGAGGGTCTTCTGGATTTTGCAATCCCAATGTGCTATTGTGTGAGGACCATCTTGATTCTGGCATAAAATAACCCTTTGGTATATCATGACTGCTTGCATGATCATGCATAACATGATCATTAACAATGAGCGTGGATAGGGTTTAGATTACACCTTCTATCACTTGATGGGCATACACGTTATGCCGATAATAAGAGATGAGTGAATCAAACGCTTCATGAAGGTGTACAATGAAATTAGAGACTCCGATGCCCGCGATCAACTTCAGAAGGATTTGTTGGAGGAGTATTGGAAATATTATGGCGAAAGAGGTGCCTAGTTTCATTTGTTTGTTTGTTGTATTGTACAAACATATGTTGTATGTGTTGCATTTGATCTTGTGGATTTGATGAACTATGTAATAATTTAGTATCGTGAAGATGAGCAAATTTTAAGTTGATTACCGGGTGTCTTATTTCAATTTGTGCACAGCGGCCGGTTTTGCATCTCTAGTTTGCATCTCCTATTGGAATTGCTTTTTTACATCTCTGTTTTGCATCATCCGTTGAAGTTTACCATTTTTTAAGATGCAAATGGCACTTTTTTTTTTTGAAAATGTAAGGTTTTACGTCTCGTGTTTTATATCTTCAAATTTGCATCTTCCATTGCAGATGCTCTTAGGTTTTGGTAGACACGTGTGGCCGTATGATAGACCAGATATTATCTGTATCCCTCCCAACATTTTTGGCTTGAACAAAGTGTTTTACCCCCCTCATCAAAAGAAAAAGACTAAAATCCAGATAATCAAGGCTGAAACGGAACCCTGGAGCTTCGACAGCACAACGCAACGGTACACACCCAGGACCACCGGCCGTATCCCTATCCACCGAAACGAGAGTCCCGGCCCTTCCTCGCTTCTTCTTATCTCGTGTAACAACCCTCCCTGCCCCTTCAAAAAAAAAAAAACTCCCTGCCCACGTGCGCCTGCATGCGCGT